CCAGTCTTTTCAAGCTCTAGCTCAATTGAGGAAAGCCCATTGGTCTTGATAAATTTCGATGTGGGCTCTGATTTAATTTTGATTATGTTAGATTTATTACTAATTCATACATTAATAAATTTGAATTATGTTGGGCACAATAGGGTTTTTTTCACCATTTGAGGGTACTTTTGAATAATTTATATTCTAATTGAGATTAAGTATATTTTTTTTCCGAGAAACATGGTCTTAAAACATATCTTCATTTCAATTAGATGCATTCAAGAAGATAATTTTTATTTTTTTGAGAATTGTTGACTAAGTTCTTGTTTGATATTATTTTTTAATTTTTTTTTTTTTGAGAATATATTAAAATATTTTTTATTTTTTAAAATTTATTTTTGACATTAAGATATCAAAACATTATAAAAAAATAATTTTAAAAAATAAAACAAATTTATATTCTTTCAAAAACACTTTTAAAACCTAAAAATAACCAAATCTCAAAAAAGAGCAATGGTGTAGTTGCATCAAAAATGAATTTGAATGCCTGAGGAAGCACGCAGGACATGGGGATGACATAAATTGAGGACCATGGTACTTGGGCCCCAGTCATCATGGATCTCTTGAAAGTTATAAGGTGGACAAATTCATTGGGCTTCATGCCAGTAGTTGTGTGGGCAGGCAGGCCACCGGAGACCTAAAGCACTTTGATACAAACGGAATTTTTTTTAATATTCTTTTTCCCTTTATTTCAACGTGATAAGCTCTCTTTAATCAAGTTTAAAAGTGCCCAAGTCTTGCAGGATTTTTTTTTTTAAAAAAAAAAAAAGCGAAAATTTTGGTAAAAAAATTAGTTAAAAAAATCTCGACTTGCACAAAGTTTAAAGTCAACGAATTATTATGTTGATCCACTAATACTGAAAATAAAAAATTCTACCTAACTCAAACAGATAAGAGTGTTTTAGATGTGATTAAGTTTCAAATCTGGTTTAGGGTAAAACTAAAGGTAAAAGGTTAAGTTAGTTTAGGTATAAATATTCATCTAAAACCGTAACCCGGCTCAAAATAAATAAATAACTTTAGAGTTTTTAAAAAAATAAATATATATTAAACTAATTATGTATTAATTAATTATAGATTATAGTATTTGGGATTTGAGTAGGGTTCAAATCTGAGTTATAGTTGTTCGATAAATACTTAAAATCCAATTAAGCTGTGCTCGAGTATTAAATTTTCATCCTCGTATGCAGGGGCGAAAATGACAGTAATTTATAAGGGAGACCAAAATTAATATAACAAGTTATATTATTACATGACCTATTTATTTAAAATAAAAATATTATATATTACATATTTAAATAAAAAATAAAAAAATCAAAATATTTTATAGGGTACAAACTCTTGCTTCCCTCTGGTTCCGCCCCTGCATATGGGTTGAGTAGTTATTTTGAGTTTGAATTAAGATATAAATAACGAAAACCCCCTATTATCTTTCTTAGCTAGGATAGGGAAGAGTTTAAAAATGTTGTAGTGCTTTAAAGTGTATTTTGTATGAAAATATATTAAAATAATATATTTTTATTTTTTTATATTATTAGATTAAAATAATTTTAGAAATATAAAAATATTTTTAAATATTTTTTTATAAAAAAAAATGGTTTGGAATGCAATTACAAAGGTTATATAAATATAACTAATAAGATGGGTTTAGTCTCAGATATTAAAGTTAACATTTGGTAATCACGTCTGTACAGCACCTGATCTAACCGTGACCAAGGGGATTTGATCATTTGAATATTAGTATTCTGAAAAACGAAAACAGGGGCAATTTATTCAATCTCTAGAGCGTTTAGAATTGATATTTAACCTGGTTTTCATAAAAATTAGGATTTTTTATTTTCAATTAAAATTTATAGTATTTTTAAAATATTTTTATATATTAATATAAAAATAATATTATTTTAATATATTTCAAAACAAAATAATATTTTATTAAAAAAAATCTCCAATGTATTTACAAACATCATTTTTATGCTGTAGCTTTTCAGTGATTCTCATGAACAGCACGTGACTCTCGCCTTCATGAAAGAAAGAACACGACAACCCAACCCCCATCTCCTTACCCACCTGTCATCATCCCAAATGGGTAACGCGCGATGGGTGGACCCCGTCTATGCACATGCAAAAGGGTCCCACAAAAATAAATCAAAGGGCTCAAAATTATACCATTTGTACTTGTGTCGTCACAGTTTAACTGAATTTTCTTTAAAATATATATTTTTTAATTCAAATTGTTTTTTATTTTTAAAATGTCTCAATATTTAAAATAATTTTTATAAAATAAAAAATAGCGTTTTAAAATACTTTGAAGTAATTTTTTTAAAAAAAAACAATTTCTACTTTACTATTAAAAAATTAATTAAATTATTATTATTATTTTTTTCTGTAAACTTCTTCCTAAGTACATCACTAAACCCATTCAACTGAAGTACCTAGTGCAGAGCAGGTGCCTGGTCGAGGGATCACAAGATCATCGCCGCTACGTGCGGTGTCTGGGAGGTCAAAAGCTGGGGGATTTTTCATTTTCCATGTCTCTACGTGTCAATATGTAATTGGTCCAGTGACGTGGGTGGCGGACCTTATTGGAAGGCATGCATTTCACGCTTTGTAATGACCGTCCCATTTGAGGCCTGACCGTTGCGTAAGCGGCCTCATATTATTATTTTTATTTTTTAAATTTATTTTTACTATTATTATATCAGAATAAATTAAAAAAATTAAAATTCCATGGACCTTTGTTTTGGACGCAATCCAAACAGGGACGTATCAAGAAGTATCTTTTCTTACCCTAACGCACTCCCTTTTTACCTTATTTACGTTTATGCCCGCATTGAAAGCTAATCTGGGAAGCATTAAAATTATTTTGTTAGCAAGCTCTCTTAAAAATAAAGTCTTAAATGATAGTGTAAGGAGCAAACTCCCATGCCTATTACATTGAATATGTAATAACGACACCTTACTGCACAGCTAAACGCGTAGAGAATATAAATTGTAAAGGACACTGGGTTGTTGATAAATTTCATGATTCTTTAATTTATATTTATTTTTATTTTCCAGGGCCAATGCTTATCTCCTTGAACGTGCATGTTTCCTGTTTTTTGTACATGCTTTTGTTTTTATACGAGGTAAATAGAAAAGCGTCATTTTATGTAGATTTGTTTCCTAGTTTCAAATATTTTTTTTTTGTTTTTTGAATTTTTTTTAATAAATCTAACAGAATATTATTTTAATATATTTATCTGAAATAAAAAAACAGTGAATACCTTACCCTACCTAACCAAACCCACTAGTCGTTACAAAATCAACCAAAATGATTTAAGAAATGTAAAAAGATAAAAAGAAAAAAAAAAGACCCCTCGTTCCCACCAATAAAGGGAAAAAAAAGGAAAAAATCCTCGAGTTCATCGTGAGATAATATTAGCCAAAAGAAACGAGAGACGTCCTCTCTCTCCCTCAAAACGCCAAGTATCCCTCTCTCTATTGAAAACAAACGATAAACAAAATCCTTTTTGGGTTGCTTCTTCTTTTTCTTCGAAGAAATGGAGTCTCTAGACACGGCTGCTTGTTTCATGGATGACCTTTTGGACTTCTGTTCTGATATAGGAGAGGAAGAGGATGGTGAAGAGCACCAGAGGAACAGCAAAAAATCCAGAAGGGCACTTCCTTCCCTTAACCCTAATGACCTTCACCCGGCTTCTTTCAACGTTTTGGAACATAGTTTATTACCTGTAAGTTTCTTATCTGGGTGTTCCTTTCATGGGTTCTTGAGGCCGAAAGTTGCGGCCTCTGGCGGTTTTCGCCCTCCCTAAGGCTAGACCCTGTCTGACTCGGCTCGGTTCAGGGTTGTTATGAGTCGACTCGGGCGACTCTGTCCGGGATAGCGGCCGAGTTTTTTTGACTCGGCATGATGTGGCTCTGCTGAGTCAAACTGGATGGCCTCGAATAATGGTGCTAGTTGAATTTTCTTGTTCAAACAGTTTTGCAAAGGAGAATTTTGACCACATCGAACTCTTGACTCTATTCACAAATAGTACGGCAGTTTGAAGGGTGTTTTGGACATTTAATGCCAACTTGTAGTCTTTATCGTTATGAGCTGTATTTCACAAGGTTGTAGTTGTAGTCAATAAATTTATCCTTGTCATTTATAGTCTTGCAAGTTTGTCACGCGGCCACTCCTATTGAAAAGACAACAGGGCCCCCAGCGTCCTTATAATTTTCTTACCATGTTTAATTCCGAGTTCTTGAGTTGACCAGTTGAGTCAACTCAGGAACATTCTTATGTTGTCAAAATATGGGGGTTTTGACTTTTGAGTTACTGATTATTTGTTGACATTTTCGCTTTATCCCAGGAATTTGCAGAGGAAGATCTGGAATGGTTATCCAACAAAGATGCGTTCCCAACAGTCGAAACTTGCTTCGGTAGCCTCTCCGGTGAGCCAGGCAGCATTCCCAAGCACCACAGCCCAGTTTCCGTGCTCGAAAACAGCACTACTAGTAGCACCAGCAACAGTGGCAATAGCAGTAATAGTAACATTATTATGAGTTCCTGTCGACTTCGCGTGCCTGTTAAGGCCCGTAGCAAGCGCCACCATAGACACCCTCGAGAAATCCAAGAGCAAGAGTGTTGGTGGAGTCAGGAAAATTTCACGAGGAAACCGGCTGAGTCAGTAGCAAAATTGGGGAGAAAATGTCAGCATTGTGGTGTTGAAAAGACTCCACAATGGCGGGCAGGTCCAGATGGACCTAAAACATTGTGTAATGCTTGTGGGGTGAGATACAAGTCTGGTAGATTGGTGCCTGAGTACCGACCTGCAAATAGTCCAACGTTCTCCAGCAAATTGCACTCGAATTCGCATAGGAAGGTTGTGGAGATGAGGAGGCAGAAGCAGATGATGGGGTTACTTGTTGCGAAGCCAATGGATAAAGGGTAGGATAGTGGCTATTCAAGTTTTATTTCTGAGTTATTTTACTACTAGCATGGTTAGGGAGTTGGGGGGGGGGGGGGTTGCCGTATTGTGATGGGATAGGTGATTAGTGATGATGTTTGTTTTGGAGGAAATTTACCAGGGGAATTTTGACTTTTAGTTTGTTTGGTTGGTTGATTGTGTTCTTAGAAATAGAAAGCAAGGCCGTGTTATTTGGTTTTTTCGTATCTTAATTCTTCGCTGTATTGCTTGGATAGGATATGATGAGACTTAGGGTTAGTGCAGTGTGCCAGAGCAAGTTTTTTGGTTAGGTTGTGCTTGCTTTGAACTAACTAATTTCTTATGGTTAGTGGCAATTTTATGAGCTGTAACACAATTCAAATTGGTTGATTAGAGAGAATCCTCCTTGAGTTTCCTAAATACAGACATGGGTATTGCAGTGAAGTTTTCCGTGTTATTGTAGTCGACATGACTGATTTTGTAGTTTTTTTCTTCGTGGTTCTTTTTCTCAGTGAACTTCTTGGTCAGATATTGTTTATTGTTTCCTCAATTTGAATGGCGACTTTTATGCAAACATATAGTTCAAGTGAACTGGTTGGAGGTGAATACGATGTAGCTCTACAGAACGTGCTTGTCGTGTGGTTGCAGGTCCCTGAATCTATCATGGTTTCAGACGGCAGATTATAGGAGAAGAAACAATGATGGATCCCTAGCTGAGCTCTTGTTCTTGCTTTCTTCTGGGGTTTTACTTACGGATTTCTAGGTTATGGAAAGCGTTCTACAAGTAGTAAGCCGAATGCAGGTGCTGCCAAGAAGCTATTGCTTTGGAGGTTTTGTTGGTAAATAAATGACTCTGCTGACAGGGAGAGCGCTTTGTTTGGATGACTATGACACCCGAAATGAGCTGGTTGATATGAGACTCAGAGTTCATGTGATGTTGTGGAGACGACCTTTCCAAGGCTGGGAATGTTGGGCGGCTGTGATTCTATGCGAGTGTTGGCCACCATTTAAGGGTTTTAACAGCAGGATATAAGAAACTTCAGGATGTGAAAGTTGCTATTCTGATTAAGATTGCATGCGAGCTCTATCTTTTGAACTGCAAGCACAAAGGTGATCTGGGCTGATCTTTGCTAAGGAATGACAGATTTGATTGAATTGTTCAATCAAATCTGTCATTACAGTATGAGATGAGAGCAATTTGGAATGTTAGAAAGATCATCCTTGCAATGATTCGAGCAATAATTCAATAATCGGCATATTCACATCACATGGATCAGGTTGTTGCGACTTTTATCGTAGTTACGGCATTGTCGCTGAAAAAATCTTGGATTTTGAATACGTTTCTTAAACTCTAGTTTCCAAGGTGTCAGTTAAGTGTCATTGTTTAATTAATGAACATGACTAGGTCACTAATTTTCCTTAACTCGTGAATTTGTCATGATGTTCCTCTGGTGATAAGGGAGAGACCTCTCCTATATTTTAACAGGGGACTGAACTTTTGGCATGTAGTTGGATTGATCATGCCACATGGGGGGTACTGTATGAATGCGCTGATTTTTGCCGGTGAACATGAGAAAGGACTGAATAATTGGTGCTAATAGGTTAACACAATGATTGATGATGGACACTAGCTAGCGGCTGCAGAAAACCACAGATGTAAAGAAATCAAGGAACTTTTGCCCTCAACTCCAATCGAAATAGAAAAAAGGAAGAGCAGATTTCGACAACACAATTACTTACTAGAATCTGTTGAAGCACATGTAAAATTTCTCTCTCTTGGAGAAAACACAATTAAGAAATATCCTATCTGGGTTGAATATCTAGTGGAGTGATTGTGCTCGTGTTTGGTTAGCTAAGTTAAGAGAGAAAGGAAGAAGATGCCAGAGAAGTTGGAGAGAGGTAGGGAGAGGAAGGAGGAGAAGAACCCATAACTGGATTAATTCTTGTTCTTATTTTTTTTGTTTTTGTCGATATTCATTTTGTTACAACTGATAGCATATATAAAGCAATTAATCAGAATAATTGAATGTTAATTTAGCATTCTTCTCAGTACAGGTAATTTACACTTGTTATTGAAACAGTGCGCATAAATAGAAGGAAGGATTGGGCTGATACGGTGCGTTGCGATTAACTATTCACTTAGCAACGGTCATTTCTTTTCAAATATTCCCTTCGGCTTGTTTTCTTCTCGTTGGCAATCCTCATTAGCCAAATTCACCTGCAACAATTCTCTCCCTTTCAGAAACACCTTTGCCTCGAGGTTGAATGATAGAAATCTGAGTTTCACTTCATCCATGAATTCCCATGTTGCCTCAGAGGGAGATACAACCCTTGCCAATGGACTAAGATTTGAGTTGCAGCCTGTTGACCCCCTCTGACTGGTCTTCGATCCAAGATTGCCTAAGGGGCCAATCGGGCAATTTAGTGTGCAACATTTTGTTTCCCAGGTTCCTCTTCAATTGGGAGACATGGAAGACAGGGTGGATTGTCGATGAGGAAGGAAGATTTAACTAGTAAGAAACTTCTCTAATCTTCTCGATAATTGTATATGGACCATCATACTCAGCTGCTAACTTGTGTTGGTTGTGCTGTGGTACTGACTTTTGCTTGGAGGGCTATAGACCAAGTCTTCTACTTCAAAAACTTTCACTTCTCTTTCTGTTTGCTAATTGCCTCATTCTATTATGTGCTTTGACCAAGTTCTGCCTGATTATCTGTAGCATTTGTTCCCTTTTATTGAGGCAATTGTCTATTGTTTCTGGGGGGGGGGGGGGTCTTTAGGGAAGTTTGTACCAACTCTATATCACCATTGGGCGGGGACAGGGGAGGCTGGGCCCCTGCAAGGAAAATATTTTTCCAGCCTTCTTTAAATTTATTTTAAGTATTTTTATAAGACACCGCACAAATTTCTTGTCATGTATTTTTATTTTGACCCCCTTAATTTTATGTTTTGTTCCGTCCCTGGTTACACTATTGTGAATGGATATCTCTTGTCATGCATCTGAAATAGTTCTTCACATATTTGTTGACTATCTCGGTTTGCCCAATTGATAGTGGTGTAGTATAGGTCGACCCCTTAGAAAGTAAACAATTCCTTCCAAAACTTGAAAAACTCAGTCTCGATCACCAACTACGATGGCAGGGGGACCATGAAGTTTATAGACCGATCGAGTCCATAAAAATTTTAGCTATTAAACTGGCAGGGATCTGAAAGCGCCATAAAATGTACACATGTACTAAATTTATGCACCATTACAAATACGACTTCTTTAACTGCAAATTTTGACAAACATGCGTAGAAGATGCCTCTAGAATAAACAAAGGTTGTAGTAACCTTGGACGAGCCACATTCTCAAACATGTACCTATGACACTAAAAGCACTCCCTGACAAATTGCCTCACCTGTTTTTGTTGTTTCTTCCAATAAAATACATTACCAATCTTTTTTAGCCGTGACTGTAGAACCTGAGTGACCCCTTAAAGCAATATCATGATAGATGGCTATTAACATGTTTTACAGCACAAGATTATTATCCACCACCAGTTTGCGCCTTCTGATAAAATGAACCTAACTCACTTATAATGAGGATGTGTAGCAAGCAGTCCTGGATAATAGACTCCGCCTTGGCATACCTTTCCCATGACTTGATGTCTGAAAGCAAGTGAAAACTATGAATAAACCTAGTGCATTGAGCTCATTCCTGGGTATTCTAGAGAGAGCATTAACGACTATGTTTTCCTTCCCCTTCCCGAATTTAATTTCGTTGTCGAACCCTAGCAGTTTAGTCCGCCACAAATTTTGGGATGGAGAGGTTGGATTGAGTCGGTTAGTGAGATAAACTTGTCTCCAAATTTCTACTCGTGAGATGGATGGTGAATATTGTACAAGATATTCTTGTTAGCCGTCTGCTCCCATATACCAATTCCCATGACAAATTCACAGTGGAAGTTATGGTGTCGCAGGTAAGTCAATAGGATCTTTTAGTGGAGCAAGTACTTCAAGTCCAAGGTTCGTTATACCAGTACTGTATAATCTAGGAATAAACTGAAGAAAAGGAAGAAAGAGGTTTTGGGTCTTACAGAACAGGCAGGCTCATAGGCCTCATAGCCCCCTTCTCTTTTACACGGAAGTGATTAAACCAATCTTTTTCTATTCATAAAGCTTCCTACTGTAAATGCAGTGCACAACATGTTCTTGCCCAATTTGTGAGGTGACTCACACTCCTTGCCTACCAACAAGGACAGATGAAAAGTCGGGTCCTTTTTAGATAGGGTTTGCCTGTGACAAGTGACAACGATGTTAGTACGAAGTGCTCAACCTTTTTCTCAATGTGGGAGCAGGAGTGTGCTGTTAAAAGTTGGAAGTTTTTTGATATGATTGAAGACAGCTATCACGGAGCAAATATTGGATAATTTGGTTTGAATATGCACCTTGTTGGCCTGCCCTTTGTTGTGTTTGTTATTCATTTATGCAGGGCTTTGAGCATGACTTTCCAAAAAGTTAGCATGGAACCCTTGCTGGGTTGGTTCGCTAGCTATCCATCTCTAGTGTTGTACCACTACTGCCCATTCTTTAGTGTCGATTCCCATGGGTATTTGCCTTGAAAATGAACCCTTGCATTCGTTTACAAGGAAGGAGTATTTCTTGGTCCCAAACACCATGTTTAGTCCTTGCAACTGCTGGTCAGAGTCGAGATCAAAAGGCAGACTGATAAATAGATATCTCTCTTCAGCATTTTCTTGACAAGTTAAGATCGAAGGCAATGCTGATATATTTCTTGCTAAAGACTTTGTTTATGCGGACATTGGACAGTTGGTCAGCAGTGGACATTGGACAGTTGGTGTTTAGTCTTGTTTTAAGGCCAGGATAATAGCCGGCTAACCTGCCTAACTCGGTCCCGTCCTCGCCACTTTCAAACCTTAGAAGGCGAGCCACATCCAACTTTGAATACAATATGCGTTGTGTTGATCTTAACTTGTCAAACGGAAAGGAAAGTAAAAGCAAAAACAACAAACACTAAGATTCAGGACTAGGGTTCATTCAACACCGAAGCTACGATTTGGTTAGAACTTATTAGATTGGAAAGAAATTTCACCAGGCTTTGACATTCAGCGTCATAAATCATAATCAAGGGAAGGTCCCATTTGGGGCGAAATCCTTGACAATCAGAGCATATAATGACGTTGTTATCGATTTGGCAGCACTTGAATTTAGGGCAAAGTTGGGGGATGACAACTAGTGACGAGTCTTCACAGTCGGAACAGAAGCACAAATTACAAGGAAAGATAAAGGGTGAGAGAAAGGGGAAGAATTGGGCGGGCGGGCGGGCAAGCAAGCTAGAATAGGACGAGAATAAATGAAACAAGTCCATATCTTACCTAACAATCGTGTCATGCTCCATACCTAATAATATTTTGTCTTGTATTCGTGCCTGAGATTGTATCAAGGTCGTGTCTCCCAATATATTTATTTGCTGGATTGCATAGCATTTAGGCAATCACATGTGCTTGGATAAAAAGGTGTCTTTATTAAATGCAGCATGGGCTTCGCAAGTAAGTTAGGCCTAATCGTGAGTTGCCCTCCCTACCAATTCACGTTCATCCCTGCGTGGAGTTTGCCCCTCACGGTGCGAGGAGACATGCTAGCTAGGTTGCCTACAACACCCTCACACGCCCGTGTATTTTCTACTTTTAAGAGCATTTGGATTTTTTAAAAAAGGAATTTTAGCAAGAGCCATCACGGTGTGTGATGTTGATGAATAAAATTTAGATAAACATGTCTGAATTTGAGAATTAATATAGAAATCATATGTGTTTTGGTGGTGATTATGGAATATGTTTGGATCATGTTGTCTTTGTGCACTTTGAGTGCGTGAGTTGAGTGAGTGAGTGACGCTGTGTACGGACGTAATAATATAAAGACGAGCTCAATGTGAAAAAAACTCATTCTAGTTTGCATAAAATGCTTGATGGAATGCTATTTACAAAATTAAAGGCCAATTTGACATTAGTTTTTATATAAAATCTGAAAGGAAAAAAAAAAGAGAACATAAAAAGACATATGTTATATTTTCTTAGTGCTTAATAGAGGTTTTTGACAAAGATATCTTTTAAAATAATTTAAAAATATTTTTTAATTATTTTTTATGTATGTATGACAAGAAGGATCTTGAACAATATTCCTTTTGTACTTGAGATCTTTTGTTAAGTGGGAGTAACCCTCATTTATAAAATATTATCGATAAATATATCTTATTTGTTCTTATTTTTTTTTTTATTAAATGAGAGTCTTAAATCATTGTCTAAATGACTTTTAAGCTGATTTAGAGCTTCTAAACCGTCTTCTGTTTATTGGTAAAGTTAAATAAAATTAAATTGTTCTCTCATGTAAATTTAAAAAAGAAAAAAAATATTGTTTTGTAGTGCTGAATCTTAGCGTGCGGGGGAGAACAAGGTTTAGATTGACTCTTCAAGAATCGAAATGCATAATTTAAAGGAGTTTTTTTGGATGATTTATAATAAAATAAGTAAAGTGTAAAGCTTAAGTATGCATGCTGCCTCTTGGTTCATGTTCATACGAACAGTTCTCAATGTGAACAAGCATCAAGTCACGCACATGTAGAGGACATCATGTTGTGGACCAAATCATGAAATTACAAATCGAATAAATTGTAAATTAATGGAATGAAATAATCAAATATTGGTGAGTATATGACAAAATGAATGTCATGAATACGCTGAAAGAGTGCTTGGAAGGGTAATAATCATTAATTTTTAAAGTTGTTTTTTCTCATAAATACATTAAAATAATTTTTTTTATTTTTTAAAAAATAATTTTTAACATCAACACATCAAATAATTTAAAAATATAAAAAATAGTAATTTTAAATAAAAAATTTTAAATTTAAAAAACTTTTTAAAATACAAAAACAAACAAGTCATAAATTCAAACAAAGGTAATTGGAGACTCCAACAATAAAAAATTGAACATAAAAAAATCAGGCTTCTCTTACAATAAGATTTTAGGGATTATTTTAAATTGAGGGTGGGCGGTGGATACCTTTTACAATAAGATTAATTAAAAAAAAAACGACTAATTAAGCTTGAGAAATTGCATTAATCGAACGGGTCCAACTACAATATTTTTTTATCCCATTGGATTTGGTTGGAATATATGCACGCCTGTACATTGTAGTCATTAATTGACTCGACTGGACTCAACCTGACCAACCTGGTCAGTAGCCACCCTGGCTAAAAGCTATACAGACTCACCATGCAAGATAAGAGTTTTCTATAGCATCAAAAGATATGGTTGCATGGTCTCTGTCCCTCTCCATGGATCAAGGTTCACGGGAAGGAGAGCAGCCTGCATTATTATTTGATACTGACGCCGACCAGAATGTGAAGACAGGAGTAGCTGAAGTTTAGCGTGTTGACGGTGGAGTCAAACCAGATCGGCAGATCTCACAGACACCCAAAATGCAGAGCCAAAAACATGTGTCAAGTTAAGCGACTGTTCTATGCACCGCACCCCATTCGATGATCAAGGAGATACTTTTAAAAATATTTAAAAAAAATTAAATTTTTTATTTCAAATTAAAGTTTTTGATATTTTAGATTTTTTTTATTATAAAAATATTTTTTTATTTTTTACTTCAAATTAATTTTTTTGATATCATTCAGTGTGTTAATATCAGAATTAATTTTTTAAAAATAAAAATATATTATTTTAATATATTAAAAAAAGATGGGTACAAACATCATGACTTTTTGCCAAACTACTGAATTGATTTGTAAGGAAATGTAAATTTAATCTCGCGTGCAAAGAATCCTCAAAAAATACACTGCCCTACCTGTAACTATCAATGTCGTTATTAAATCAAGTATGATACGGTAGATCACCCATAAGCTAGGTGACCTGCCTCTTAACCTAAGCTAGTTAGGTATGAAAAAAAGTTAATATTGGATCTAATTAATTTCACAACTTAATTCCAATTAATTTAGTCCAAATTTGAATTGATATTTTAAAAAATAATTTCATTTTATATTTTTTAAAAAAATCAGCTGGAATTAATTCATTTATCCTATCCTTAATTTAAATCTCATATCAAGTTAATTTTAAAATAAGTTTAATAACTATGCTTATAAAACCATCTAAGTAGTAATATAAAATTGAATTCAGCACATGTGAAATGAAAATGAAAAAAAAAATAAAAAAATAAAAAGGGGTGAGTTAATCTCCGTGATTAAAAGATAAGAAGGAAATGATTGCTCTTTAAGCAACACTGTCATTGAATTCATGAGATATAAGAATTCTTTCTTTCTACTTTTTTTTTTTTTTTATCTCGGTAAGGTACGAATTCTTTTCTTAATAAAAAAATGCTGCGATACTTTTTATTTTTATTTTTTTTAGCATTGATTAATGTACATGAAGCCCAGAAGGAAGCTTTTGGGTAAACTAGACCGGGCCCCATCTCGTGATAAATATTATATTCGACTTTTGAGATGGATCAAGGCTTGGACTGTCTAATAAAATATATGTGCCCATTAAATTAAATAGGACCATGGCCCACATTAGGGACATAAAGACCATTAATGATTTGTAATCTAAATACAAAAAACTTAACCAGAAGATGTAATATAGAATTTCTTTTTTAAGAACTAAATCGCATATAATAGAATTTTGGTTGAAGAGTATTGTGCATTACCTATTGAACAGGTTATATCTCGCTCTCTTGTTATGGTTTTTATTGAAATAGCTTTGAATGTAAAAGATAATAATATTTATGCCATAAAAAACTTTTCAATTCAATACATCAGCTAAGGTTTGAAGATTCTTGGTTCAACTTTTTTTTTACTATTTTCATAGCTTGACTTTTAAATAAAATTACATAGAAGTTATCCTAATGTGATCTTGTTAATCAAGTATTTTTAAAAAAAAAAAAAAATTCTAGTTTTTCTGTCAAACTCGTGACTCGTATCATGAATTTTCTTAGGTCAAATTAATTTTTTATTTTGTTTTATGATAAAAATTATAAAAATTAATTAGTTATCAATTTAATATTGAATGATAAAATTCAATAAAAAACTTCATACTAATAAATAGAATTGAAAAAAAAAACTCAAACATGAAAAAAAAACTTGTTAAAAAAATATAGTAATCATGTTCATTATATATATATATATATATATATATATATGAATAATTAAATTAATCCTATGTAATTTAATTGTTTTATTAGTAAAACATTCATAAGAACACTAAACGCTCCTTAACAATGCCATTTAGATAATTAGGTAGAGGGAAAATGAATTGTTTTCACAGTTCCATTTTAATTCAAAAATTTAATTAAATCAACAAATAATATTTCTTGTTAATATTGGTTGGACTGAACCAGTTTTTTTAACTTAAAAATCAGAAAAATTGGCTTGTGGTATTTAGACTAGCTAATCTTCATCACTGAATTAAATTTAAAAAATTAACATTAAATATCAATTTAAGCTATTAATTACAACAATCACTTGAAAATTCGAGAAGATGGAAAAAAGCAATTTACAATCAAAATCTTCCACTTGGAGACTTGAAAGGGAAAGGAGAAAAGAGCAGGGCAACTCAGAAGAAAGGAAAGGGAAGGGGAAAGGAAGGTTGAGAATGGATAGGGGGGTGGAAAATGAAAAGGTGATTTAGAGCTGGGGATAATTTTTTTTATAGTTTGTTTAAATCGGTTCAGTTTGGTCTTGTTCAATTAATTCTTTTTAAAAATGAAATTGAATCGAACTAGGTGTTTTTTTTAATTGATTTATTTTGTTTTTTTATTTAATCAGTTGATTAATTTTTTTAAACATCTATAGTTTTAACTAATCTTTATTTTCATTATTTTCATTGAGAAACAAGTTTATTTTAAGAGTTATTTTAAAAAAAGTTAAAAACAAATATTTGTTTATAGAATAATCAACCCAATCTAATTAAACGATGATAATATACTTAAAATCTGATACAAAAATAAAAACTCAACTTAATGCATGCAAACTAATTTAAGAAAAAATCTAAAATAAAAACTCAACTTAATGCATGCAAACTGATTTAAGAAAAAATCTATAAAATACATGTGATGATAGATTTGTTTTGCATTAATTATACTTAGATCCTTGAAACTAGACCAAATGGGTCGAAAATATCATATGGTTGATATATTATAATTTTTTTTATTTTTAAATAATAATTTTAAAGTTTACCCACCTCTTTTAATTTCTTAAATTTAAACCAGAAAACTAATATTTAAAGAATTATTCCTTTAAATACATCAAATCAATATAAAAATATATTTTTAAAATGGTCGAGGAAAGGAATTTTCTCCATGGTCACATCCAAACTCAAGAATATCTTGTTGAAAGAAATTAAATTTTTTTTTTATTTACATGGGGTGTTCGGGTTAGTTTACGCATATTACAACTAATCCCTACGGCTCACTGAATATCCTGTAAGCTCAGTAAATAAGTAAAACATTGTGGGATGATAAACATACACGGTAAAGCTTGAAATATATAAAAAAAAAGATAAGCCCTTCCCATCAGTGGGATATAACGTCGCGCACAAGAAATTAAAATTCTTAATTATAAAGGACATGGTACCTATTCATGAAATATAAAAAAGCTTGCTTCGAGAAAGCCGAGATAACCACAGAACTATAGAAAAAGACAAGATAAACAATACTGACTAAGCATCCATCAAAGTCAAGGTCGGCTACCAAATGACA